CTATTTACAATATATTTTTGTAATAAAAAGATTTTTTTTTAGTTTTCAACAGATTGATTTTTGTTGGAAGACGATCCTAATGATATTGATAATGCTTTCAGACCCGATTAGTCTAAAACTAAAAGCAATGAAATATGGCACTAGTTATTCCCTGCTTTGAGAATTGATTGAAAAAAAAAAAATAATAATTCATGGAACCCGAAATCAAAGGTGAATTTATTTTGTCTTTTTTAACTTTGGCATTATGAAGCTGATAACCACATGGCTTTAGAACCTGATGTGTTTCATTTAATTTATTTACGCTTAAATTTAACCTGTAAAAAGAGCTTTGTTGTGAAGTTAGAATTGATCAAGTTTTGAAAGATATAATTGTTATAAACTTCATATTTATAGAAAAAAATATGATTTTTGTAGTTTATTATATAAGTTTATTATATAAAGGTTAATGATAACCATAGTACATATAAATTTTACTTATCTGATGGTGCTATATGCTGGTGACAGATGTGTTAAAGAGATTTAAAGTAAATGTCTTATTCGCTTGATAAAACATAGCAGTTTCTTGAGATAAAACTATCCACTGATAATACTCCGGCTCTATATAAAGAACCAAGGGTATTTTCTAAAACAGAATTGTATAAATTCATTTCGAACACAACGGGTATCATCTAGACCCAATTGAGAAAAAAATGGATTTGAGTGGATGATTCAAAGTAGAGGGAAAAGGTTTTATTTCGGACCAAACCAGAAACATATTGGCCATTAAAGTCATGATGGATCTAATTATAATTTTGTTTGTAACGTAATAAAGAGCTTTCAGGGTTTTAGATAGCAAGAATTGGATACTAATAGGAATTTGTTATGTAATGAAACCGTAAAGTTCAATTGAGAAGGTCCAACAAACTTTTCGTAATTAATTAGAAGTTTAGAGCATTTGTTTAATAAATGTTATCATAGTCATAAACAATGAGCAGCTATATAATTCGGCCTATTACGAGGATTATAAGTTAATCAGAATATACCAAAGGATACCAATTAATCAGGATACCAAAGGAAGTTATATAATAGGTTTGCGATAAACAATAAAAGTAATTTAATGGATTTCATTGAATTAAATTCTTCAGTTCCAGTACCATTTTTCAAGTTTTATAGTTACATATTGAAGAGCTCAGGACCTATCTGTCTATCCCAGGCTGTAAACAAGCTCTATACCTCAATATTAAAAAAGAAGCGGAGAGACTTAGTTGAGAACGACTTAGAAGAGGAACAGGCTGCTTTCAGCGTCAGACCCAAGATCATATATTTTCTCTCAGAACAATCATTGATAAATCGTGGGAACGAGAAAAAAGTATCTTTTTGGTGTTTATAGATCTAAATGCTGCCTTTGACTCAGTCCCTAGACAAGATCTGTGAAATGCTCTTTCTGGAAAAAACATCCCGCAAGGATTGATAGAAGCTATAAAGTTGACCTATTACGATTCCAAGAGAATAATAAGGATTAATGGAAGAGAGTCCGATACCTTGGTGATTGAGTAAGGGGTTAAGCAAGGGGATAGTTTGAGCCCCCTCCTATTCATCATTTACATGGATGAAATCTTGAAAATGTGCAAACGGAGGACAGCCCGCACTACTATTGATAAATGGAATATGAGAACAATCCTGGCTCAGGTAGTGGTATTTGCGGATGACATTGTCTTTAAAGCAGATACTAAAGAGAAGTTACAACACGCTGTGACTGAATGGGAAGCTGAGCTTGAAAGAAAGGGAATGACCATCAATGCCAGGAAACGCACAATAATGCATATAGGCCGGCAACAGAAATACATTTAAATATTTTGCAAAGGTGAACCACTTAGTGGACGAATATATAGTGGACGAATATAATTACCTCAGAACAGTGATCAGCAGGAATGGAGAGGTAGACCAAGAAATATCCAATAGGATAAAGAAGACAAACTCAATATACTACCACCTCTGCAACACAGTTATAGGGCAGAAGGAGGTATAGAGGAATGTATAGAGGTAAGTACATATCTTCAAGACTATACACCTACCTACCCTCCTTTACGGAAGTGAGAGCTGGATAAGCACCTAAGCAGAGTTACTGCAATGGAAATGAGATTCTTTCGGAGAGTGGCAGGCCGGACTAGGAGGGATCGCATACGGAATGAGAGGACAAGGGAGGATGTTGGAGTTGTTCCTTTAAAGGATACTATTGAAAAGAGACAACTCAGATGGTTTGAACATCTCTGTCGAATGAGTGAAGACAGGGACACAAGAAAATATTTTGAGGCCAGACCAACAGGAAAATGCTCAAGAGAGAGACCCAGAATACAATGGAAAAACTACATCTCTAAAGTGGGAGAGAGAAGAGGAAAAACTGGGAAGCCATGAGGTTGCTGGCTCGGGATCGAGAGGCTTGGTTTGCCTGGACGGAGGCACCTCCACGCTGAAAGGCACTGAGGAGGAAGAGAAAGGAGAAGAACAGTTCAGGATGGATTATTCACTAATAACGTATGTCTCACCCATACAAACAATCACAGAAAAATTTAGATCGTAGAATTTTAAAAAAAATTATTTCTTGTAGAGAACTTGAAAAAAAAAGGATAAGGAGATGATAAAACTTATAATGCATTTCTTTATTCTAGACCCACAAGAATAACACACTATTGTTATATCAAAGCATTAGAAGTGAAAAATTAGAAACTAATAAGCTAGTCCATTATTTAAATTTAAATATACAGACTAGAGTACTACCAATGGGTAGATTCTCAACAAGCGTTTTCATGTGATTATATTCCTCTGTACACATTTACTTGATGTAATTATACTAATACAGTTGTAAATAAGTAAATTTTTTTTAAAAAAATATACAGATTGTAATCACCAAAAATATGATTAATAGGACAATATCGCTTCCTATATATTAAGAATGTCTGAAACATTTATTCCGTAACTAGACAGTTGCCTGTAGAATTAAAAGCAATGAGAAAGCTGATGTGATTGCAAGAAATGAAGCTGAGATCACTTTCATGGGACAAGAAGCTACAATAGGAATATCAAAGAAAGAGGCTCTTGATTGAACATGGAGAAGAGCAGGTAAGAAGTGGAGTAGAGGAAATATACTGAGCTGAAACACTTCCTCTTCTAAAACTAAGTGGCTAGGCCTGAACAGTAATGAAATATGGTTAATTATTGTAGTTCTAATAGGCCAATGCAGCCTTAAAAGACATTTAAAGATTTGAGGAATATTTAATGAAGGACTCTGCGATCTGTGTGGACAAGAACCAGAAACTGTCCTGCACTATATAATAGAATATATCTGATTTGCTTTGCTTAGACACAGGCTTCTGGTCTCAGTCAGAATCCTAGAACCGAAAGCTTTCTCCATCAAATAGGCATCTCTTTTGAACTTCATTAGACGAACGAAAAGGATGGAGACAGAGGTGGTGATATATCTTGTGAGGTGATTATCGTTGGTAATACTTTTGAGATTGGCAAAAAGGACAAAAAAAACCCACTTGTCAGATAAGGCCTAACCTCAAGTTAATTTCGAATCTGGCCTGGATGGGTTGAAATTTATTTCCTGACCTAACAACGGAATGTAGCTCGATCTTCCCACTCTGACTGGAGTAGGTACCTGTGGGATAGCCAGGGAGCAGCAGGCGGAGGAAAAGGAAACAAATAAATTATGAATTATCGCCAGAATTTACGAGGTAGCCTAAAAAAAGAAAAACAAATAGTTGTGAATGTTTGAAAAAAAAAAAACAAAAAAAAACTAAGTATTTAAACTGTCTTTTGATTCATCAGATATGTGCCAAAATACTTACAATATAAATTTAATTTTTTTTTCAACATTTAAATAATAAATAACAGAACTGAGGAAGGAAATTGAGTGATTTGGGACTTGTCCAACATATGATTAATTTAATTTTTTTAATTGATCCTACACTGTCTAATAAGTAACGGGATGTTACTCATGTTTGCATAAAGACCAAATGCTACTAGTAAAAAAACACGAGCTGTACATAACAAAGCATATTTAAAAAGTTATTTATTGCAGCTACAAAAATTAAGTTTTGTCTAGTGATAAAGCTATCTCCCCTACATAGGTTACACTAATATATTATTCTAAATTGTTTAAAAGTTAATTTAATAAAAATATTCTAATTAATATCTTGATACTCTAAATTTTATAAACGATCTCAACTAAATTTAACTCAAAACTGTAATATCTGAACTTAATTAAAAGTTTTTCAAATTATATAAATTAATATTAACCACTCCAGATATGTTTTGTCAAAAGGTAGCTCTATTTCGAGTAGTCTAGTTTTACTATTTTCTCTTTCCAACATTGCTTGTTTTTGAAATATTGAAATTTGCAACGATAGTGCAAATATTTTCGACTTCCTCCTTCGAAGCAAGTTCTATACAAAATAAGAAGAGGAGGGGGTTAGTTTTGAGTGTTAGATTCTCACAATAAACATTCACAACATTAATAATAAGCAATGACAATAAAATTAAGCACAATAATTAGTCAAATGCAGACATTTTAGTTTTCCAACAAGAGATTTCGTTAAGACTTCTTAATTTTTTTTTTAAAACGATAAATATATATCGAAATGAAGTGACCTTTTAATGGACAACACATGATCCCTAAATTCAATGAAATATCAATAGCAAATTGATAATAACAATGAACATACTTCTGGCTTTGGAAGCCATTTTCTTAAGCTGCATAACCAAAGATTCGTTATCGTCCTCGACTCGTGCCGATTTCTTACGAAGGTTTTCAGCCTGGGAACAGAAAGTAGCAGATCACCATCACCCTAATGTTTGTGTGGATAATGTTAGGTGACACGTAGGCAGCAAAACGAACAATATAACATAAATACACCATTCAAGCAACACCATTTTCAATTGACTTTTACACTTTCACATCTGTGTTAGTAGATAGAGGTGGACACTTAATGAGATATATATTTTCAATTGTTTATTACCTAGAGGTAATATCAAAGCTGCTAAAGGTGATAAGACGGGGGCATGGGGTAGGAACATTCCAAACGGCATTACGTTGTTTCTTGTAAGAGGATTCATGTACTGAGTATCGGTCTGAGTAGATGCGTCCTTTGGCACTATATTTATTACATCAGGCAAGGAAATTGAACGGATAAGTGAGTCAGTCATTTTTTTTAAATGCCTCTTTGTTTGATTCCCAAAATTCTCAGTTTGGGAACTATTCTTAGAATCATCCAGATAATAAGTCTCATATTGCACGTATCTGTCTACTTTAAGAGAAGATATCTCTTCAGTCTGGACAGATACATCAGCTCTCCCTATTTGGATTATATAATGACCAAAGGCATCATTCAGAATATCATTCACAGTGGCCTTTATTGATTCTTGATTTATATCAGTTTTTACTGGTGATGGGGTCAAAATCATTTCCCCTTTCAGTTTTTCATAATTCTCACAGTTGAAAAAATCCATATCACACAGTTTCTCAACAACTTTTTCCGGTATCACATCTGGAGTTAATTTGGTTAATTTTTTTTTCACCTGAAGGCGAAGGATCTAAAATAACAATAATTTAAAAAAAAGAAAGAAAAGGGAAAATATTTTTGGTAAGATTTATATAAAAATTGTTTTAAAATAAAAGAAAATAATAGTTCAAATCATTTTTTTTTTTTTACTTTATTTTTATTACTTTAACTATACTTGTACTAATGAGAATATGATTTAAAATTTTAATACAATATATTTGCAAAACAATATAGTTATACAACAAACCTCCTCTTCTGCATATCGAAGCTGCTCTCTTAAATCTGCCTCACGCTCAAGGGAATCTTGTAAATCTCTAAGAAGTTGAACAGGATCTTCTTGAGAATCCCCTCTCGTCAGAGATTCTCTGGACATTTTCTGCTTTGGTGAAAGTTTAATTAATACAAAAATATCTTAATAAACCAAATTATTTAATTATTAAGTAACATCTTATCACCAATTAAAATGAACCTACCTCAGTGGAAGGAGTTTTGGGCATGCTTCCAAGCTTCGGAGCTTTCTTTTTAACAATTGTTCCCTTTTCCTTGTCGCTGCTCTTTACCTTACTGTTTGCTTCTTCTAATTCCTTTTGCAATCTTGCCGCTGTCTTTAAGATAAATTTCATAATAGTAATTTTATAATATATTATAAATTATATAAATATCATATATTTACATTACTGTAAAACACAGGAACTTTACACCAAGGTGGAAAACGTTACTCTAAAATTAGAATCACTTATTTTTTTCTAATTTATAAAGTAAATTTCCGTTTCATAGAGGACTAACTTCCTATCTCACTAATAATTTTTAATTGATAATTTTAAATAACTATTAGTTGTTTTTTTTTTTTTTTTTTATGCCAACAAAGAAATTATTCTAGTTTTGAAGTAATCACCAAAATGTAACTTTTCCCGTTTTTAATTATACTATAAATTATTCAAGAATTATGAAATATATTAATATACTATACAGTACATATAACTATAGAAAATAATAATAATAATAATTGTAAAGATAATGTTATAAAATATATTAAAAATTAATGTAACTGTAATTTATTATGACACTAATAATATAACATAGCGAAAATAAGTAAATGCCATTTTTGAGTTAATTAATAAACTTACTTCATTGGCAACACTCAAGTCATGCTCTAATTGTTTGATTCTTTCGGCTTTATCCAAACCAATTTGACCTCCGGCAACCTGTGTGTCACAAAAAACAATAAGAATACCATCTTTAATCAGCTGTTCAAGAATAAAGTTACTCAAAGAGCATGAATTAAATTTGGGTATACTTTGGTAGTTTGTATATACATACCAAACAAAATTTTAATATTTAAGTTTGAAGAAGTATAACTGAAAAAGTCTAAATTTGAGTGTTTTCAAAACAGTGGTAGACGTATCAAAGATATTAAATTCAATGTAGATTACATTATATTGTGGAAAAGTGGTATGGAAGACTGCATTCCATTAGCATGCTATACTAGTCAAGTAAAGTAAAAAAAAAAAAGTAAATGTACTAGTAAAAAAATCTGGTGTGGTCCGCGCATCACACAACTTTCACTTACCACCCTCTTCTTAGCAGAAATAAGTATTTTCAGATAAAGAGAAGTGAAAGTAAAAATTAAAGACTCTATATTTATTTATATTTCATTGTGGGTATTTTTATTTGTATAAGTACCCTCATATATACAAATTTTAATATTTATATCGCTGTAATCTATACAATTAAATATTAAATAATACCAACAATAGCATTTATGAAAACCATATATTTATATTTATATAATATTGTCGGAGTCTGTATTATATAAATGTCATGTTGTGTATGGAAGCCTGTTATAATCTTTTGGGCGAGCTCAGGTGCGATAAATTATAATTATTCTCCGTTAAGATTTTTTATATATCCTTTAGTTATTTATCAAATTCTTTCATATTTTATATTTAACCATTTTTCATATTAGAAATTACTGTGAATCAAATAAAAAAAATTAAAGGTACATTAGAGGAAGCTAATATTAAAAATTAGCCATTTAAGCCCTCTCAGAAAACATCAATCAGAATTAATACTACATTTTATTTAAAACTGCTTAATTTTACACTGATATGTTGAATTTAATCAAAATCGTTGAGAGCTGTTTCCGAGAAAATTGTAAAAATGTGTTTAGCCCATGATACAAAGTACCACTTCCGGTCAATCAATTTCGACGACAAAGTTACTGTAACATCCCTAGTTTATAAAACCTTAAATATGCAATTTCAATTTCGTACAACTTTTCAGTTTTCAGCTAGACTGTTAACACACTCGCACGCACACACACAGATCCATGCGCGTGACCGCACACAAACAACTATTTTGCGGGACTTGGTTATTTGGACTCAGGGAACTTCAAAACGTGTATTTTCGATGAAAACTGAGATTCGAAAATTTTCACAATTGCAATACTTTCTCTTACTATATGTTTCATAAATAGATAAGTGAAAATAAAAAAAAGAAAAGGAAACATTATAATAATAAGGATCATTTAGATCAGCTAGCAACAGAAAGTTAGTTAGTAATGATACAAATATCCTAATCTTGGACCATGGATAACATACAACCGTAATCAGATGTAAATTATTCAATAATTACGACCTCACAATATAAAAAAAATATATATTTTAAGATTTTCTTAATATTTGAAATTTAATATAAGTGAGCAGCATTCAATGACAACTTTATTCAAAATTGTATGATGCCATATAAATTCAAACACCGCCTGACTCAATTATTACAACTTTAAAAGAGGCTAAAATAAACTCCTTAATTTGTTTGCTAATGACCTCCTTCTTATCAGTCATAGCACACTTTAAACTTAAAAATCCTTGAAAACATGAATTTGACCTATGAATGGATACCAACATGGTAACATGGTGATCGGACGTGAAGAAAGTTACCAGCTAGGAACCTAACTAATTTTAGTCAAAACTTAGTTAGGCAATGTTACAATTTATGTTTATAACCCTCCTCAGCTATGTTAGAATTTAATGATGACTTGATTTTTAATAATATTGTGTTTTATTTTATATGATACCATGATAAGTAAATAGTTATAATGAGTAAATATATTACTTCTCTACAACGTTGTTCGGCTTCAAACTTTTCTATTTCCAACTGCTCGGATTTTCTTTCAGCTTTTCTTAACTTGAATGAAAGAATCCTGCAGTTCTTCGTTGCTTGCTCCAGTTCTTTCTTCAACATGGTATACTCATCCGCTCTATCCTCTCTGAAAATAAAATGTTATCAAGGACGGGATAAATACATTAAAACAATAGATATTTCTGACAAAAGATAGTTTGAGTAAAAGATTCATTTACAAAAATAAAATTGAACAGGATTTATTATAATCTTCACATTTTCCTTAATACTTCATCAAATCTAATGATTGAGCCATAATTTTGAACATTATCTTTTCTATCAGTGCTGAAAAATATACATATAGAAAAATCTGGAAAAAAATTCATGAAGAAAAGAAAACTTTCTATGCACGCACATAACTCAAAAAGTACACAAGTTGCTAGCAAAGATACAGCCTCCTGGAAATTTGATTCATTATTTTCAATACTGAACCCTTATAATCGACAGTGAAAAAAAGAACTCAGATTCAAATTTTTTTACAATTATATATATATATATATATATATCATTACAATTTTTCCTTAATCGACCTTTGAGTATTAAATTTAAACTTAATTATTTAATTGGGAATAAGGTCACTTATTAATTATTTAATAAACTATTCAATGTTCATTTCCTCTATGTTTATTGACGTTTTGATCCCGGTATTTTCTTTTTATAAGTCAAAGATGGGATCCTCTTCAAAGCTAGAATTTTAAAAAGTAGAGCTTCGATCAGGCCAGGGACACACCGACATTTGTCAGTTCAGTAGTTTAAGCAGTAGCTTAATATATGTGCTAGTGGACGGTGCTGAGACTGTCGGTGTGTCCCTGGCCTGATCGAAGCTCTATTTTTTAAAATTCCAGCTTTGAAGAGGATTCCATCGTTGACTTATAAAAATAAAATAACGGGATCCAAACGTCAATGAAAATAGAGGAAATGAACATTCAATAGTTTATTAAATAATTAATAAGTGACCTTAATCCAAATTAAATATTTAAGTTTACATATATATATATATATACTTGTTATTATTCGAACTTGTTATTCGAGCCATTAAATGAGTATAAAGTTTAATTTTATATTCATTAGTTAAATATTTTTTTAACATCAAAAAGAATTATTATTTTTAAAAAAGAATTTTTCAATTAACTTATATAAGCTTTAGTTTAATGATTTCAATATTGAATTACCATATTACCATTTTCAATAGACTATTACCCATTAATCTTTTACACATATCTTCTAAAATGGAGTAACTATAATAAGTATAATTTTAATTTTTGGAAAACCCAATTTAGACAATAACAATAATATTAAAGGTAGGAAAAGATATTTAGCAAGAACAGTCTTATTTTAGAGGAATAAATTCGATACTTGATTTTTTTTTTATTTGAGTTTGAAGGCGTAAACTAGCGTAAAAGAGATAATATCATCTGTGTGTTATTATTGTCTAAATTCCTTCTAAAATAATAGACTATTTTCACTGTATCAAAAGTCGTCAGTGGAAAGAGGGTTTGCCGTTTCATTCCGATTTATAACCCCTTGATCATGATTCTTTTTTTTTTTTTATTTCTTTATGACATTTACATATATATATATATATATATATATATATATATATATATATATATATATATATATATATGTAAATGTCATAAAGAAATTAAAAAAAAAAAAGAATCACGATCAAGGGGTTATAAATCGGAATGAAACGGCAATATATATATATATACCCATCATGTACCTGTCCTTTTCACTTATGCGAATTGCATGCGTCTACTCATAATAAAATTTTTTATTCTTGTCATGTCCACCTTTAATTATTTTATAACATTATTATTAATCAATTATTTCTTATTAAATGATTTAAGTAAGTTAAAATTACCTCATCATGTGTCACCCACATGTCATCAGTCTCATTTCTATTCAGTGACTGGTTGGTTATTCTTATAGGAGTAGGGGAAGACTATTTATTATTTATATTTTGAAATATGTAATGTTTAAATATGATTGTAAATTGTAAAATTTTTTAGACTTTAAAATGGCTCAACGAGCCAAAACGTCGTAATTAGATGAGTAGTCATTAAGTTGACAAAATTTAAAAATTGGCTGATAATAAATAGACTTGAATATATATATATATATATATATATATATATATATATATATATATATATATATATATATATATATATATATATATATACAGTAGTTTTTTAAGACATAATAATACTAAAATCACACAAGTTGATAAGGAATTGATGAGGAATTTTTTTTAAATATTTCACTTGTTAAAAATAAAACAGCATCTCAAGTGTTTGTATTATTGTCATGAAACCTAACATTTAAATAGACTAGGAAAAGACCTAAAACACAAGACAAATGCCTAAAAATGAGTTTCTGGATTCATAGTGCCCTGAAAGATCCATTGAAAAATACACTTCAAAACTTTAACTAATCATAATACTTTGCTAACCAAGTACCAGTAAGAAAGTGGAACAAAATGATTGATATTGAAATGGAAAAGAAAAGAAAAAAAATCTTCAAAACGACAAAAGCTGTTCCATGAAAAGTTGGCACTATATTAATAATCGATATAGATGTGTGTAACAATAACACTCTTTCATTCTTCACAATCTTGAAGATTGAGTCCCTTCTTACTTTTTCCAAGTAACTTGTAACTTCTCATTGATCACCATGAAGATGAATGAGCGCTGATAAAATTTAATCTTCAGCAGTCCGATAAACAGAACTTATATCTCCAATTTAAAACAAACTGCGATGTCACCATACCATAGTTTAAATCATTCATTATTAGTTTACCTAAATTTGTCATGCATTTCATCCATTTCTTCTTCCATTTCCTTAAGCTCTTTTTTCATATCTTCATTTTCTTCCATGAGTTCTTCACACATCTGCTCCGCAGCTTTAAGCTTTTCTTTGAGAGAATCGTTCTCCTTCTTGGACACAGAACTTCTAACACTGTCCATCTCATACTCCATATCCCTCACCTTTTGGGTCAGAGACTTCTTTTCGACCTGCAAATCTTCTACTGTATTCCTCAGTTCATTCACTTTTTGCTGCAACTTAAGAACCTATAATCAGAAGTACAAATTATATCAATATGGGAGTAAAAGCAGATTACAATCCTTCCTAATATGTTTTATAAAAATAAATACATCACAAGTTCAAGATTTTGGGGAATAGCATTATTTTTAGGATCATAATCATTATGCATATTTCTTTAATTGACTCTAATTAAAAATTGACTAAAAGAGAAACATTTTTATAGGTTGAAAAAAATCTCCAGCAATATGAGCATTAATATAGACGTATAAAATACAGATGTATGGCTAAATATTAAAAAAAAAATTAATATCAAACATGTCGAAAAAGGTAATCGAGAGTGACAAATAATACATAAACTACCCAATGGATGAAGGAGCTTGGAAAACATGAAAATTACTTAACTTTAAAATAAAGTTGTAATTAAATATTAACAAGTCCTTAAATATTAGAAATCAATTTCTACACAAAGTAATCTGGTATGTGAACATTATGAAATGTGTATACCGCATCAAATTTATTAAAGTACATATGTTTATTAATTATTAATTCTTTACTTGGTGTGCACAATTGGGAAATTTATATTTATAAAATTAAAAATAAACAAATAATTGGGATATAAAAATGAACTACACCATACCTCGGAGGACGAGGCTCTTCCTGTAGCAGCGTCTAGCCTTCTCAACATAAAATCACTTTTTTCTCTTTCTGTCTTTTCACATTTTATTTTCATTACCTCAAGTTCTTTTTTAAGTTGCTCTACCTGAGCTTGTAACTAAACAGATACAAACAAATATTATCAATATATTTCATTGATTTTAATATATGTAGTGTTTTTATATTAATATTTTTCTATATATTTTAATTAGATTAAAATATTCAACTTTTGCTGCAGCAATTCAAATTCTAATATGAAAAAAATATTATTTTCATATCAATCATCCGGGGAAACTATTATGCAACTGTAAATCATAAAAATTTATAGCAGAGGCAAAAGAATAAAAATTATCACTATTTTAATTTTATACATAATTTTAAAAATTGATTGTACAACAGTGAAATTCTTCTAACCATTCAAATTTTTCAATATTATACTGTGACATTGATTCGATTAAACATGTCTTTTTGTCAATTTAATGTTGTAACACACTTTTGCAAAATGTTTAATTGTATTATTGTTCCAACGGATGAGCAATATTTGACAAATTTTATTGGGCTGTTGGGTGAAAATTATTTCAAATTAACATCTAGAATTAAATTAGTTATTTATCTATGCATTTAACATTGGAATTTTAATTGTTAGTTAAATTCACAATTTAAGTTTTTCAGTTGAATTAGTTGTAGTTGAAATTGACAACTTGCAATCGAATAAAATTCGTTTTGCACATCTAGCCCAGTAAACTTGTACATCATAAGTTGATTTGAATGGGGGTAGAAGGCTTCTTTTTATTTTGTTGTATGGGATATGACTGAGATGCAAAATCCAAGTTTTTGACCTCGTTTTTCGGTTTCCCTCCATTTTATTCATGAAGCAGCACATTTTCGACAAAAACTATCCTATAAATTTTTAAACTAGATTAAATATGCTACAATATAAGAACAGAACAGGTTCGGTAATTTTAATAGTTTACGAGATACAAGTTTTCAAAGTTTGGAAAATTTAAAGGTATCTTTCATGTTTGATCATAAGCAATTGTCTTCAATTACTCATTTTATCTTCAATAACCTGTCTGATATGAGTCAGTGAAGTAAACATTTATTCATTTTAACATTTTGAAGGAGGAGTGATGGAGGGGAAGGAAGGTTTGGAGGGAGAGGGTAGCCAATGGGCCAGACCCCCCTACTGTGCATCTCTCTCCCATTTAACTAAAAATTGCATATCATTGTGTTCTTGGTATAGAGAGGGGGGGAGAGGGAGTACTGAGGTCGCAAACTTGGATTTTGTATCTCAGTAACCACACAAGAAAAAAAAAAAAATCTTCTGTCCCCATTCGATACAACTTAGACCCCCCTATTCATGACAAGATTGTAAATAATCTTCCGTTTTGTGGGGATCTAGATTATTTACATTCGTGAATTTAATTTTCTTAAAACAAAACACCGTCACTGGATATAGACTTTTTGAGGGTGTTAACTGTCGTTTGGCATTTGGGAACCTAATGCTTTTGTGACAAGAAATAACAAGACTTCTGGTTTCACGTAGTTCTGCCTTCATGCCCATGCCTCCAGTGGGTTCTCCTTTTTCTCCCGTATCCATCTCCAGCTGATGCTATCTGCTTGGTCCTTTTCCAACCTTCTTCCTTCTTCGTTGATTGTTTATCGATATGAGACTTTTCAATGAACAATTTGTCCACTGCACAATCGAGTACAATTCATAATGCCACCTCACATTTCTATATTCCTTCTCATTTCCTCACTCAATGTCACATTAAGGAGTAAATATTAGAGGCCCTCTACTACAAGGTTACTTGGCTAGTCAACTAAAAATCTATTAATTATTTGAAGTTGTCTTAAGTACAGTTAGTTCAATTCACCTTTGAGGTATCGTTTTCCTTAGCTAGCCTATTACTATTGCTCCCAGTCATCGAGTTGTTATCCTCATCACTGGACGAAGAATCTTCTCTACTTACTATTAGTGTCTTTCCTTTTGTCATGATTCTCTGCACCTCTTTGGCAGGAGAGGGTTTCTTTGGGGGAAGTTTTACCTGAAAATATCCTTTATTAGGACTACATTACTTTTATCTTTAGTAAAAGTTTTATTGTCATTGACAAAAAACAAAAAGAAAGGTTAATGTCAGCCAAAACTTCTTCAAAATTTGATAAATAAGATTATTTTAAAGGTAAAGGAATAAACGTAAGAAACATTAACAGAAAACAATTACTGAGAAAAGTATGATCTGAATTATTAAAAAATTACATTTTATTACTTAAAGTAACATACCAGTACATCTCCTGCGGGTTTTTCTTCTTGTTGTAGTAACCTAGATCTATATATTGTCTTTGCTTCTTGGGGTTCTTCTTTGTAATTATTGCTTAAACTACTCAGACCTCCAGCCGTTCTTCTTCTGACTGTATATTGTGTTCTTTTTGCTTCGTCTGAAACAAAAAAAAAAAAAAAAAGAAGAAAATAACGAGAAAGAGCCATTAATATCAATATGAATGTCATCCTTTAAATGTACTAGTTTAGAGAATTGATGTGAACACACACACATATATATATAAAATAAACCTTTTCGACTACAACCCATGTGCTTAGAGTAATAATACTGTTTCAAAGTCAAGGATTTTGTAAGAAGGTGATTGGTTACCTACTTCATAGAGGCTGGATGTGTTCCAGTATGGTTTCTCAACTTGGAATCGATTTCTGGCTACAGTAAAAAAATAAAAGATTATCTGCCACAGGTGGACTTGAATCCTGGTTCAAGAGAATAGAGAACAAAGCTGTACTCAGCAATAAAATGTAATCTAGCTTCATTTGTTATAGGTGTTTCCAAGTAAAAAGGCCAAAATGAGAGAATAGGATAAAATAAGTGAATCCACAAGAATTACTAATTGCTTTGAATGGTGATTAACAGCTGGTAACAGCAATAATACATTTATTTCTTCTTTATACCTTGCCTATATACCTATTTAATAAAATGAACATTTGCAATTTATAGTGTTTTTTATTTCTACTTGAACATATATGAAACTTACCCAATAGTGGAGCATTTCAAGCAAGTCAATTTTATTGTTAAAGAAATATTTTTAAACAGGAAATTATTTAAATTAAATTAATAAAGTATAAAATCGTACTCTAGAACTCGTAATGTACTATTTATATGATTTTAGATGCTGAAGAGAGGAGGAAAGTATTTCCGAAACATCCTGACAGAAATAAAAAATTACTATAAATTACAACTTTGTTTTCTTAATTTTGAATTATAGACAAAGTGTGCAGAAGAAATAAAAATGAATGGAGAGAGGTCAACATCTATGACATGAACTAATAATTAATACATCTAAAGAAAAACAAACAAACGCAACGCTGAACTGTACCTGGTTAATATAATTGAGTTGATTGCGTAGAGGCAAATAAAATTACTATACTTAGTAACAAAAGCATTCCTAAAATGTTAATATGCACTGTGCCGACTAGTAAGCATCTCAGTAGTAGACTGAAGTGAAGGTGGGAAGATTGCATTAAGGCTGATCTGGCATGGTTGTGTTTAAATGGCGCTCGGTGGATGGAAGAATATCAGCATCGTTGGGTAGTATTGGCATCAAGCTTTGGGTTCGCTAAGCCTTATTATTATAAAGAAAAACAAATAGTTTGACAAAATCACCATTTTCATCTTGCCCGGTGTCCGGCTCTGGTTTTGGCCTCCGACGAGGTAAGGTGAAGCTGACGGAAACATCCTCCTTGGCATCCTTTGGCTCAGCTAAGTTAGGAGTCGATGTCCAAGAAGAATTTGAACTGCTTAACCTTGAGCAACAAGCCATAAGTTATATTGATGAATAATTGATGAGCTGAATGACTGAGTTTAAAAATGCCACAATTACCTATTACTACTATTGTTGGAATAAGCATCATCATTTCTACTGCTAATGCCCACAGAACTTAGATTAGAACTGCTCGTCCAATTTCGGGACCCCAAGGTGCTGTCTGGAATTCTGGGTTCCACTCTACTCCTGGAATATATATTTTTATTTACTTTCCATATTAATAAAATAATATTTGTTATTAATTATAAAATGTTACCTAGAAACAGAAGAAGAAGAAAGAGCTGGCGTGGAAACAGTGAGCTCATCCTTACGCAGCTGGATATCATCCTTGCTGCCACGATTGCCATGCTCCTTGTAGTCTCTGAGAATTCATTTAAAGTAAAATGAACAATTTAAAACAAATTCTCGTTAACAAAGAGTTTATTTGTCAATAAAAAAATGAATGGTAGCATATTTTAATAAACAACAAAGATTCATAACAAGCATAGGTACTTCCAAGATTATATAAACATAAACAAACAATCTTGAAATAAATAGAGAACTGTAACAGATGTGAAATTCTAAAAAGTTCACTAATAGACTGAAAGTAAGAAAAATGCATCTTCTATTTCACCAATCAGGATCTTTCTGAACTTAACATTGATCTAAAAATCTTAAAAGGAATAAGGTTTGTGTTTGGCTCTATTCTCATTGTTATAAAGAGCACCAACTCTACAGGAAATACTGGACAAATTGACAGTGGCCGAAATAGGTCTGGAACATTTCCGAGTTAGGAGATTTAGCTTTGATTCTTAAAGCTCAAAAAATTACATTAACAATGAAAAATGAAATGAAGTACCTAAGAGCAATAAAAAAAATCGAAACCTTGCTGTTGAGAGTAGAATAGAGTTTGTTCTGATCTATGAAGGAAAATAATATAGAGTTGACAACAGATACCAGAGTAGTTCCACAATCCCCAGGAGTATGATAAATAAATACAATAAAGGGTGAAAAAAGAGAATTATGTATGGCAGATAGCCTATCATCATTTCCATTCATATTCTTATACTAAAAGTAACAGAAAAAAATGCTACATTTGTGGTAATCTCCATCTATCATATTTGAATTTACCAGAATAAATACCAGCAAATAGGTTTAAACTTTTTCTTATTAAAATATAAGTATAAAGAAGAGCAGAATACATAAAAACATTAAAACATTTGTCCAGTTGAAAACCAGTTGACTTTTGAAAGTATTTAATTTGAATAAAAATAAACTATTGAAGGAAATTAGTCGACTGTTCTACATATGATAAATATTCAAGATGCAATCATAAAATTTTTATTGGTGCCAACATTTTAACCTAAACATGTGGATCATCATCAGGGCTGAAAAATTGGTTAATGTAATCAGAGATATAATATTATATGACAGATAATGGTTAATAATAAAAAAACATATAGTGATTAATGATACATGAAATAGATATTGTTTTTTTAAGATTGATATTGTTATTCTTAAAATACTCTAAAATATATTGTACTAATTTCAATTCATTACAATTGTCTGTATTGTAAACATTATTTGGCTAACTATTGTATATCTTTAATCATGTTTATCTTTATCGCTTATTTATTTTTAATTTATTACAAGGCAATAGTCACAATTTTGTAACTATAAGAAACAACACAAATCTTGTATATATCTTAAATAATTTAGTCAGCAAATTATTTACATTTTGCTAAGAGAAACCTTCATTGCTCGATACAAGGTTAGTAAGAGCAAATATTACATTTTTTTATAAATTGATTATATACATTATTTTTAGTTTTTTAACTCTTTCTTTACATATTTCAGTTATCAATTTCATGTATCATTAATCACTATATATTTTTTTTATTACTAAGCGTTAGGTATCTATCGTATGATATTGTATCTCTGATTGTATGAAACAATTTTTCAATCCTAATTATGACACACATGTTTGGCTAGAAACGTCGGTACCAATAAAAACTTTATAATGACTGTGTCCTGAATATTTATCACTCATAAATAAAAATAAGACATTATAAAAAGATATATAAATTATCAAACATTATCAAAAAATGAAATGGTAGGTACAAGAGAAAATAAAATGAATTACCTAAAACATCTTTTGCACCTCGTAGGCCACCGAACTTGTGGGTGAAAGCCAAGAGGACAAAGGGGGTCCCCCTTTGACATTGGCTTCACATGATGCATGGCAGATGATCTGAAAAATTCATAATTAATAATTGACTACAGTAAATGAGATCAAAGGCACTTATTCTAAAAAAAAATTAATGATTTATAAATTGGTTTATTATTTCGATTTTAAACTATAAATATATGAATGGCTTATGTAAAAAGTATCTATAACTATAATAAGACCTATCTTCAGATTAAAATGGTATAATAATAAAATGAAATTAAAAGTAAATTTTATTCTGGGGCATTCAGTCCCTAACAATAATTATAATGAACAATTTATGGACATCTGTCTGGCATATTAGTAGATCATCTTCTTGTTGTTAATTACATAACATTGATATTGAGTCTTTATATTAAAATAAAGAAAGCCACAGTTTAAGATTAGAATTATAGGCAGATGTATTAGAGTGTACAATGGGTAATGTATAGGTATCTGTAAGAAGACAGTGAAATGAGGCGACAGCTCAAGGTAGCAAATATGAGAATTTTTTTTTAAAAGGAAACAGTTCTATGAGAAGTATTAAATAGATTTGTGGGCTTGTGTTGAAAGAATGGACAGAGGAACAAGGAGTAAACAGATCAAAAAAGTGAGGTTTGTTTGTTGCAAAGGTTCAGAAAAGGAGAACACCTAGTAAATATGACATTAATCAGTAGAAAGGACTTACCATGACAGTATAGTACCAAATAGATAAATTCCTGCTAAATTGAAACATTTCGTATTTGTTTTTCATTTTTTACTTTTAGTATAACGTCGATTATTTTTAGGGAATTTAGTTAAAAATTACGCGAACCTTTCTTCTATTAAAAGCTCTACAAAAATCCGAAGCTTCAATCAAAAGATAACGATAGAGAATAGCCATCCTACGTAAGAGAAGGTAAACAGAAAGAACCTACTTTCTGATGACTAAAAACGTTTCATTAGTGATGGATCTCCTTAGTTATGTAAACCAAGATTGATCAGAAAATTAAAATGAATCGGTTGGTTATGACTAAACTAATTAAAGGTGCATCTTACAAGCCACTACAGCCGGTTTTACAGGTCGAGGCTTTTCGGCTGAAGCCCCTCCCAAAATAGTAAAATAACCATGTTTTATGAAAAAATGATCTCTAAAAGTATTATTAATCGTGTAATTAAATTTAATAGGACTTTGAGAATATCTTAAACACCATTACATATAGGTTTATTTTTCTTCCAAGGTAATTATTTTATAAGATGAAGCTTTGAGCTGAAGCCCCCCTCCCATAATTAAATTCTGGATCCATTGATCCCACCTTACAGAGTCAATATTATTGAATCAGTAATATTGAAGCAATATTCTTGAAGTTGTTATACATATTATAATTTTTATAACATATCCCTCAGGCTATAATAGTATTTACTGTGCAAGGGTCACTTTTTTATGCAGGTCACCAAACTAATCTTTTGGAGTAAGCCAATCGATCTCTGTAATTGATCGAAAGAAGTCATCAACTTCTTGTAACAGCTGATTAGATGAAACTTCGTAAGAACATTTTTTGGTAGCTGTTTGTACATTTGAACTATTAAATCTCTTAAGTATTGTCATAATTGCAGTTTGCCCAATATGTGGATAATGATGACATTGAAAAAATATAAATATATAGCATATCGATATTTTATTCTCAACATATTTTTATCCACACCTGTCATAGTCTTGACAATAAGCAGATGTAGTGTTCCAGGCATGAGGAAGATTAGTACCCAGCTGCACCTCTTCCTGGGCTAGATTTAAATTCTTACTTCAGGAAAGGAGATCTCTCACCCAGCTCCTCTTTAGTCGCCTCCTGATAGGCATTTCAGCTGTGGCCATGTCGTTAATAAGTCCGTTGTGAAATTGGTATAGTTTAAGATGAAATCGGGAGTAGAGAGTAGGTATGTGTTGGTCGATGGTTTTGTGATTTACGTAACAAGGAGCTGCTGTTATTAGTTTTAAAACTTTGGATTGAAATGATTGTGCTTTTTGTAAGTGCGTCTTTTTTGCAAAACCGTAAATTTGTGAGGCGTATGTCCATATAGGTTTAAGTAGGTAAGTGTATCTGTTCAGTTTTTGTCTGATTTTCAGTTTTGATTTGGGAACAAGTGAGTATAATATTTTCAGTCGCTTGTTCAAAACCTTTCGTTTCATTTTAACGTTTGGGCCCCAGGTCATCCTTCTGTCGAATATTAGCCCGAGATAACGTACAGTGATACGACTATTTATCAAAATTGGCTCATTCGTTATATATTCAATTTTACATTTTTTTTTTTTTTTTTTTGAACGGCTCCAAATAATTTTATTAAACTCGTTAGTCCTTGGTACAGTCCCTGCTTTATCGAGCTATTAACATCCGCCTGAACTTCGTAAACAGATTCATCTCATCGCAACCTACAACTATTTTATTTACGAAAACTTTTGGAATTGGGGTGTTTTCAATCTGGAGGGGGGCAAAATTTTTATATTTAATTAGGTATTAAAAACTCGTAAATACTCATTTTCTTTCTACTTTGACCGTAAGATAATTTGATCACAAAATCGATAAAAAAGGTGCCCTACATAAATATTGGGCTGTTTGTCCTATACAATCTCGTTATTTTGAAAATTTGGGGGAGGAAGTCACGCCAAATGGCTCAATATTATTGAAGGCCATCTTTTTTCTCGATTTTGTTTTCTCATTATCTTACGATCCAAATAGAAAGCAAGTGGGTATTTACGAGTTTTTAGTACCTAATTAAATAAAAGAAGTTTGCCGCCCTCCAAAATGGAAATGTTCCAATTCCAAGAGTTTTCGTAAATAAAATAGTAGTAGGTTATGATGAGATGAAGTTATTTACGAAGTTTTAAGCGGATGTTAATAATTCGAATAAAATGGGCCTGTACCACGGACTACGTGATATCAGTGTAAAATTGAATGGTCACTAATATCAGGTGGGTATTAATTTCATTGAAGTAGCCTGGTTCTGGTAGCTGCCTTAATAAGGAGGTAATCATCAACGAAATCGATATTTTTTCTATCAGATAATACAGTTCTCTCTCAGAAGGAAGTGCTATTTTTGAGAAATTGTGGGTCAGCCAAAATACCGGCGGCCAATGGTTTAACTGGAGCTAAGGAATTCCAGGAGTGACTGCTGGATTAGTACGATTGTATTAGTGCCAGGAGTCACTATGGAGAAGTTTATCTGCGTATATAGAATTAAAGAATCAAATTAAATATATATTTTTCTTCTATGTTTTTTAAATGTCATTTTCCAATATCACATTAAAATAATCGAATTCCACAAAATGGTCATTGTATCAGTGTTGATGAGAACGGACTAGTGTAAAAACGAATAATAATACGAAAGTTGAGTTATGTATTTAATGGTCTACTATTATCACAATACACAATGAATCCATGCATGCACCACATACTCAGCAAAATCATCTACAGATCTTACACGTCTGTTTCAAACTTTGGAAAATTGGACTCAACGAAGGCAAATAACAATAAATCACTTACACTCTTCGACATGGGACATGCCTTCCTATTTATCTTGACAATGCCGAAATTTCTCAAACAGATAAAATACAATATCTTGGACAGGCATTCGAAAAAAGAATGACATGGTGCCCACATATCAACAAAAAAAGAAAAACTTTAAACCTCAGACTTCGACTGTTATACTCAGTTCTCTCAAGACGCTCAAAATTAAACTTAAAACAAAAACTGAACGCTTACAATTATCTACTTAAGCCCATATGGACCTACGCTTCATAAATTTACGAGCTAAGCTCCATGGCACGTCACGAACATTACATTACATAAATACCTTCAAACGCCAACAGTTAACGATCACATACGGACACACTACAAGCGATTTCACAATAACTTACATGGACATACTAACACACTTATACAAAGTATGGCTACATTTAACATGCCCGAAAACACATTTAGAAGGCTCAAAAGAATGAGGGATTTCCTCCATTTAAAAAGATGCTAAAATCAAGACAGGAAGGGATGCCGCTGTGCACTCCTCTCCATCACACCGATTAAGCCACTACCTGAACTCTTACCAACAGCAGACCTGCTAATTGTCATTGCTTATGACAGGTGTGGGTAAAGAAATGAAGATAAAAAAAAATAAAAATAAATTTGTATAAATTTAAATTTGTAGAGACAAAATATTTAAAAATTTCCAAAAAAGTGTAAGCAAATTTTAAAATGTGTTATATAGATGCGATATTTGAAGAAATATAAATTTTTTTTTTTGCTGATTTGGTGGTGTTTTTCAAAATGTCAGTAATATCATTCTCCAATTCCACTTCATTCCGTTCTGCTTCATATGCATAATATTTAGTAAAAATGTGCCTGACTGTTAAATTGACCCCGCAGCAGAGACACTGAGGGGGCGTCCCCTTTCTCATCAGGTGCTCATGAATTAGCCGTGAGTGGCCGATCCGGAGCCTTGTCAGTATTATTATTATTTCTTCTCTTCTATTTATCCGAAGGTCTGGTAGGTTGGGAACTACAGAGGGCTCGATCACTCTCAACTTATTGCCTCTTAAAACATGCCAGAGAACATGCCATTTCTCCAGAGTCTTTCTCTTTATAAAAGCTACTACTTCCTTTGGGAAAGCATCCCCTACTGGAGTTCCTTTCTTGATTTTGAATTTGAATAATAATAGCCAAATTTATCTAACAATTAAACAACTGCGTAAGTATATTGCTTTCTTGAATTAATTTTTTTTTAAGCTGGTTTATGGCTTTCCAGCTTCATAGCAACGTTAACATTTGTCTAAACAGCAAATAACTATGTCAGACGTTTTAAAATCGTGAGAGGCGAAATTTCTCAACAATTGGCATCAAAAACAACTTCGGTTTTGGTACAAGTCCAACATGCACCACGTCCGGCTATTTCTAGCCCGGCCTGAAAAGGTGTTCTTTCCCAAAAGATAAGAAATCCTTTGTGTGTTAATGTGAGATATTTTTCCATGTCCGAAGTGTAGGCAGTTAAAAAAGTTTGTACTTCAATATAATAAAATTTATAAAGTGATTCACAGTAGCCAACTTGGTATAAATCGTAGTTCAATAACCAACTGTATTTGTTCATTGTTTACATTAGTGATTCTTTGATTATTAGTCCGTGGTTCAGATCCCTTTTTATCAAATTATTATCATCCGGCTGAATCTTCGTAAATAGCTTTATCTCATCATAGCCTAAAAACATTTTATTTACGAAATTTCTTGGAATTGGAGCTTCTTCAATCTGGAGGCCGCCTAACATTGTCTATTTAATAAGGCACTAAAAACTCATAAATTCACATTTACATACCCATTGCTTTCCACTTGAATCGTAAGATAACTTGAGCACAAAGTCGGGAAAAGAGGTGGCCTTGAAAAATATTGAGCCATTTCGCGTGACCTACACCCCCAAATTGCCAAAATAACGAGGTTACATAGGCCAACTGGCCCAATATTTTTGTAAGCCACCTTTTTTATCGATTATATGTATGGTATTTGTATGGTATGGTATGGTATATGGTAAGTAAATGGGTATTTCCGAGTTTTTAGTACTTAATTAAATGGAAAAAGTTTGCTGACCTCGAGATTGAAAACGCCCCGATTCCAAGCATTTTCATGAATAAAATATTTATAGGTTACGATGAGATGGAGCTATTTACGAAGTTTCAGCCAGATGTTAATAATTTGTTAAAAAGGGGCCTGTACCACGGACTATATACCTCTATTACAGATATTTCTCATTGCTATTTTTAGATTGTCTTAAGTAAATTTTAGACATTAATTATATAAACATTTGGATATTTAATTATTCTTAGATTACATGGACATAATCTTCGAAAGAAATTATTTTTTTAATAAATAAGCACCATTTGTCTTTGAACTTTTACTTTTAAATAAGCATTTACCGTTCTCGAAGTTTTTAGTTCTTAGTTAGAAAAAAGTAAAAATTTTATTTGG